GGCCCTTGTTGACTTTATAGCCACAGTTTTGTTGTTTTTTGTATCGCGACATTTGGTTACAAACCAAAGCCTCCTTCTCCAAGGAAAGCCTCTACCACGTGGTGATCTCCCAAAATGGTCCCTTCGTTATTTGAAGATCATCTTCAGAGGAGATGGGTTTGCTGAGGTGTTGATGTCTCCTTTTTGGGAAATTCAACTGAGTTTTGGAAACTGCAGCTGAATTTTTGCGATCCACAACTACACACACACACACACACACACACACACACACACACACACACACTTTTTAAGCGCTTTCAAGGCTCCCCTTCAGCCGTATGAAATAGAGAATGAGATCCTGCTGATGCAAAAAACAAGAATAAATTCTCCACCTTGCTTCTTAGAGAGTTCCTCTTCATCCCCAACCTCGTCTTCAGTGACCTCTGACCCTGTGGTGTACTCCTCATCCTCTGACAGAAGAGACTGCTGTCTCTGAAAGGGCAAAGGTCAAGGCTTTTAGACACACACTTCTTTCTCGTCTAAAGCAACATTTGCAGGTTCCTCATTTGTAATTTTCAATCATTTTAAAAAAGTAAACAGATATCATGAAAAAAGAGTGTCCTACCAGCTGAAGACTCCAGTTTTTCAAAAGGGAAAACTGGTTAAAGACACAAAGTAGACACAGTAAGAACACAGAAAGGCTGAGGGCAGACAGACAGAAGCACACAGAGAAATGGGAAGTGTGCGACTTACGGTGCTGCCATCTCCTCTCAGAGATCTGAGGACTGTTGGCTCCAAGAGAACGTCACAGTCCTGAACTTTTTCTGCACTGGACTGGCTCTCCTCAGCACTGACACACACACAGGAACATTTGCAATTAGTGCATCGATAACACACACAATCAAAAAGAACATTGTGAAAGAATCCTCACACACTCACCCCTCTGCCGATGGAGAGTTTGACACACACACAGCATCTCTGTGCAGCAGCAGGTCATTGAGGACTCGGGTCTGGGCTGAAGTCTCCTCGTCACAGTTCTCCTCATCGGGCACATTCACTATGTGATCCCGCGTCTTACAGCCCTGCACACAAACACGAGCAAACTGGATCAGGATTTCTTCTGCAGGGTAAATTTGGGTGTTTGTCAATTTTACCCACCAATGAGAGAGATGTCAAACAAACTCTGCTGCAGCCAGAATGAGACTGCTTGCACAGTGTTTAATTAGCATGCACCACGTCACAGGTGCACGCAAATGAGACGAAAACTGTCTTTAGCCTGTAACCACAAAACTGTGGGGGCCAACATTGGAAACCTGAGGGATGTGGCCTTGGAAGTGTTTGCTGAGCTAATATCACATCTGTACACAGACTGAGTCTGCTTAATTTCTGTTCCATATTTAATCCTTACTCTCAGGTTATTCTCCAGATTTTGCATTAAAATTGTCTTGAAGTCCCAAGATTTCACTGATTCTTCCAATGGTAATTTGGTAAATTGTAGAAATATTTTTATACTGTATTCTACTCTGCTGCTGAGACTCTTTCTACATTGGAAAACGCATCTACTAGCACACAGGACACACACCAAGCATTTCTGTTCAGTCAATCAGACTAATTTCACTTTGATCTACCGACAAAATGAAGCAATTTCCACATTTTATTTATTAGGCTTTGGGGCAGTAACCTTTGAGCCTTTATAGGGCGCTATAGTTTAGATCTTTATATGACTTATGACAGGGTTAATGTTTAAATGGATCCAGTTTAAAGTTTCAGAGATCTGATGTGCAACCATGTGTAGCATTCTGCTACAAAGTTCTTAATAACATTCTGGGGAAAAGTCACATGACCTGTGAACCACCACTTTTAGATCAGTCAGATGCTACCAACACCACCAAGTCCAGATTATAGAACGATATCCTGGTCATGTTGAACCAGCTGTATGCTACAGCAATGCAGCAGAAGCAGCATCAGCTCAGTGTGAAAGAGTACTGCTCCACTTCATAGTGGTTTTAATATGAACTCAGAGGCTTAAGGGGGTAAATTATTTTCCACTAACATATACTACTACAGTGGTGGATGCTCGCATTAAGCATTTCATTTTCAAATAACTATGTCAACGCATGTACGAGAAATTCCCGTGAGCCAGAAGTTCAGGCTTAAGCCTGATCTACACACTCAATTCAAGTAGTCTTTCTCCTACTCTTGCCTCTGAATGATGTCAGTGCTGTTTTTGAGGGGCAGCCACTCAGAAGAAGGTTGCCGTAAAGGACAGAGGATGGCAGAACAGCTTGTTTTAGACGAAGATGAACTAAGGAGCTGTACAAGTATACCGGTATCGGATAAATATGGATTAAGTGAGATATGCCTATAACTGACTTATGCCTATCTATATGTCCTCACATTTACTTGTCCTGTTTTATCAATAAAATGTGTGTTAAATGAACTCCAAGTGTGAAGGTGCCCTAAGAAAGTAAAGGCAGTATTAATGCATTAAGCATTACCTTGCACCTAGAATAGGTAAGTGTGTGTGTGTGTGTGTGTGTGTGTGTGTGTGTGTGTGTGTGTGTACCAGAGAGAGTCGAAAGATCTAGGAAGTGTCAGACTTTTTTACATGATTCCTACGCTGAAGTTTTGTCAGGTTACAGTTTCTCCATATAACACCAATAAAAGAAATATTGCATATGTTGCATTAAATAACTGAAGCACAAGCACAAAGGCTACTGTCACAAAAGCACCTGGTATAATTTTACTAAAGCAACAGTGGCTTATACTTTTATAACCTTTTATTAAGATATATGCAATATCAGCTCAAGTTTGATCCTTTCTTGTCTTTCACCCTCAAAGCAAACTGTTTCAAAAGAAAATTGAGCGACTCTTTGACCCAAACTACCAGAACAGAGATTCACCTGGAAATGCCTCAACTCTGTACAGGTGAGTATAAGCTTTTTATTTTTGCATTGTGTTTCTTTTTATGCTCTGACATGTGTAGCGAGCATGTGAATATTCTCTGCTAATTTAATTTATATTCTTTGTCATCCTTGCTTTTCATCCCAGGTGTGGTCTGTGCCTTAAGCTGTTGACCAAAGACACAGAGAGGAAAATTTCTTGTGTTCCGGGCAAAATCAATATTGACGCTCGTGGAGAAATCATCTATAACACATCAGGTATAGCAGCATTTTAATGGTGTTTAAACCTTTACTTGATTGGCTGAAGTTCCGATCACAGTGTGTGTGTGTGTGTGTGTGTGTGTGTGTGTGTGTGTGTGTGTGTGTGTGTGTGTGTCTGTGTGTGTGTGTGTGTGTGTGTGTGTGTGTGTGTGTGTGTGTGTGTGTGTGTGTGTGTGTGTGTGTGTGCAGACAGCAAGAGTTGGGATGTGCACGAATACATCACAGGCCTGTATGAGGAGCTCAAGTCCTGGGTCTTAGTTTACTGGAGAATCTGGGGTACCATCAACTACCTCACCTGCTTCCGATGCCAGCAGGTTGGAGTGTTATAGTGTGTGTGTTGCACAAATGAGCAAAATGAATAATAAAGAGAAAGTGAACAGAGTAAGAGTGCGTGCAGGATATACTTTTAAAAATCATTTGTATGTGTGTGTGTGTAGGTGTTTGTATGTGCAGAGCTGATGCAGTGCAAGTACCACCCAGACAGCGTCCTGTACCCTGGCATGGATACAGAGAGAGGCTGGCACGGTGCAGGAATATATCCGTGCTGCAACCAGCGGGTTCTCCGCTTTGACCCCACTGGGATACCAAAGGTATGCATGTGCATACACACACACACACACACACACACACACACACAACAACACACCACAACAAACACACACCCACACACCCACAAACACAA